TCGAACTGTTCTGGAATTGGATGGTGGTAATAGTTATACAATCTTGTATATATACACGAAAAAACTTAATTATATGCTTTAAAATGATGGATTTTATGTTATTTGAAATTTTATGTTATGTGAATTATACCTCAAATTTTAAAAAACCCTAATGGCTTTGTTTTTGTCTTATTTTTTGCATTTACACCTGACTTAGCAAAAATTTAGAATCACGGCCTTAAAGTTAAAAATCGCAGTTAACTCTCATAAAGTGTTCTTCACCTCCCTGTGTTATCCTTTACCAAGCTTTCTGCCCACTCTAAATCCCCGCAGACACACATAGTCAAAAGTCAAAACCTGAAATGAAAAATATGCTAACTTTGGGTAACGTTTAGAAGGCTTTTGTTTCCATTTTTAATATAATTATTGTCTGGGTGAGGCGTGTATTATGTAGAAAATGCAGTTCAATATAAGGGGTTTCAATACCACAACAATTCTAGTCTCCCACAGACATCTGCAATCAAATACTTTCCTGAGTGGGTCAGAGCAGCTTGCCACTGTCTTGTGGCGGCAATGGCTCCACCAGTTTCCTTTTCACTGCCTTCCACAGGCTCTTTCTAGGAACTTTCTGCATTCCTATCCCCAGATAAACCCTTAAATTGGCTGCTTAGCATGCTCTATAGTATGTACAGCATCTCATGTGGTATTTTGTATGCAGTGGGTATACAAAATATACAAAAAGATGCTTACTGCATAGAATCATTCTCGTTTCGGAAAATAGCATCGTGGCATGCGCCAGTCATCTCTATAGAAAAGTATAGAGCTTTGTGGCCTCCAGGGTCAGTGGTCTGAAGTTAAGACACTCCATGTTCATGAGAAACTGGGGAGAGCTTTGAAGAGATCACCTTTACCAATTAACAGTAAGCAGACACATAGCTGACAGTGGTCTACCCATTGTCGGCGCCAATTAGCATTGCAATGATGTTTCTTTGAAAAAAGGAATAAAGAAACAAGCAAACATAGCTACTCAATTAACATTAAGTGATTTCTTCTTATTTTTACAGAGAAACTGCCAGGTCAAAGTAGGAATAAAACACTGTTCAAGAGTCACACATATATTATAAGCATCAAAAAATCCATAATAATCAGTGGTCTGATGTTGGAACGGACACCAATTTGTTTTTTTGTAAAGCATTTTCTCTAATACTTGATTAATCTACATTATTGAAACTGAGCAAGCAGGCAGAACAAAATGTTTGATTCTCATTGTCACATGTTCAAGGCAAAAGAAGCCCATTCCATTCATGAAGCTATGAGTAATTATTCCATAATGAACAACACCGTCAAAATTTTCAGCAATCTAGGAAAGACGCTGAGGATTTGTATAAGATAAACAAGGCACTGATTTTTATTACATTTTATTTAGAAAAACAACTCTGGCATGGACATTGAACTGTACCTTTTCTTTGGTGTACTTTTCAAATGATAATTTCTTCCACTGTCACCATTAAATCTTAATCCATTCCAGCTCCTTGCATGGGTCATTGAGTCTATATGTACTGCTGTTATTTTAAAATGTTTCCCCTTGGTAGGGAAAGAGGGGGAGAAAAGATGTTGAGAGCCAGATGGGCCTCTTCACAGTTCATTTATCAAACCTAATACGCTGGGCTCCACCCTCCTCTCACTCACTATTGCGGTTAAACTTCCATATAATTTGGTAATCATTTTCATTATCAGAGAGTGACCCTAAAGCAGCCTATCCTGGGACACCCAATCCTTGCAGCTGCTCTTTTTCTGCCTTTTCCTACAGTAGACCCTAAGAACCTCAGAGTTTATTAGCTGCAGACTGACCTTTGGGCTGCGGAGGTCAAGAAGGGGTGAGATCAGAGGGCTTGCCCAGTTCTTTAAAAGCTATAACAAGCTGTCCATCAGGCGGAGCGGACTGTATAAACAAAGCCAAATCTTCAGAAATTCTGTACCACTTCTGTTAACACTTACCCTGCATTCACACAGCTCCTCCTGATGTACTTTGGATCATTCAACTCTGGGGAAGTGAATAGACAGCCCTAATAAGCCTATTTGGAGAGGGTTGTTTATGGGATTACCGAGCTTGGGGAAGGAAACCCACAGCACTCAGATGTGCCTCTAGAATTGCAGGGATGTGTGACACTGTGACAGACTCGGTTACCCAAGTCATGCAGAATTGACACTTTGTTCAAAAAGCTAAATTACAAGGAACATATGCTTCCAGTTTAAAAGACTTCAGTGAGCCCCAAACAATGGGCTAGCTTTCGACCTGAGAGAGGTACAAATATTTTATAACCAAATCACAAGTTTCACTTAAAATATTCTCCCTAATATGATCACAAACGAACCTGCTGAAGAGGGGGGCATAAACCTTTATTACGAAAGGCTTATACTAAAGTCACTGCCAGCTGCGGTCTCAGCTGACCTGAATTTCTTGAAGTTGTACAATTCATAATGCATTCTCTAACGTGCAATATAAGGTAATTAGAGTCATCTGTACTTAACTTTCAGAGGAAAAAAATTTCTATTATCTAATCTAACTGATCCCCTGATAGCTTTGATGGAAGTAAAATACTGTAACCTATTGCTTGGCCTTTGGTGAGTGCTAATTATTTTCTGTCAAAGCACATTTTTCCTCATGTAATTCCAAAGTACACAATAGGCCAATCTCTGAAACACAGGCAGCTCAGTGAGCACCGCAGTGGATGTTTTCTAACTTTCACCACCACATGCCTGATGGCTACTCGAGGCAATGCCTGGTTCCAGACGGCCAGATGACGCTTTGATGAGGAAAAGAAAGGTGCATGGTAACCGTCTGTTTATACAGATCATATGGACGAGCCTTTTAGATAGGTCACCAGCATGGGAAACATCAAATGGGGGTGGAGAAGGGGTGGGGGGAAGGATTATGGTTATTTAATACTCTGAGGACACTTTTCCTTCTGAGCTCTCAAGACACCAGCCTCTTGAAATTCTCTTTCAGGTGTTTAGTTTTAAGGAGGTCTGCACAGTGTCAGCTGCTAAGCTCTTTCTTGCCTCCTCCCCTAACACAAAGGACTTGAGAATTCTTGTTTCAGATGCTAGACTACATCAACTTCAACACTGGCTCCAGCTCCTGATTAAATTGTTAGCAGTAAAGGCCAGAAATGCTGAAATCAGACTCCTTTTAAACAGGCCACTTTGGCCATGTTGTCTGACGATTTGGTGTATTAGGAAATTATTGTTAACAAACCAAATGCACTCAACAAAAGACATCCATTCTCAACATTGGTGCTCTCTCTGTCTTTGGGGGGAAGGGGGCTAGGGGAGAGATTACAGGGGAATTCTTTCTTCCTCCCTTTCCTATTTAATAAGAACCATCCTGAGGAAAGAAATAAAACATCAAACAGAAGAGAAGAAACCTCTTAGATGTCCCCACACTGATAATCCATTATTTAATAAAATATGCAGACGGGAATGAACACACTTAAACTTGTAATACAAAGATAATTTAAAAACTAATTATTGAAAGTTAAATTGGAAATCATTTAGTCATTGCTGTAGTTAAAACTGTCTGTCATTTACTCTGAGCACACTATCAAAAAGGAGGTCATGGATATCACTGGGAATTTAAAAATTATTGTTTAAACGCAAGTTTGAATTTAGAGATAATACACATATTTGAAAAGGCAGCTTTCTGATATCCAATGAGAATCAATACTTCGTAGTATCTCCTTTCTTGGAAAATGTGCATCTTCAGTCTTAGAATAAATCTATTTTTATGATAATTATTACTAGTAAAGCTATCAATTAATGTAAATTCTGTTGCATGAAGTCATTTGGAGAATATTATGGCTATCAATAAATGTTCTTGATTCCTAAGCACACAGAATGTTTAAGCATCAAGTAGGACTCTGGGGCAAAACAAAAGCACAATCTTCCCAATCCCTCTCCCTCTTGCTTCGAAACAGATGATAATTCAATAAGTTTTGCAAACTACAAGGATAACTACAGGATAACCCCAACATTTGTAGGAACTAGTTCCAGTCTTTTACATATCAACTGCTTTTTTTTAAAAAAATAGGATAACATGATATTTACTCTGCAAGTATCAATTCTGTAAAAGCTGATAATTTATAGAAACTTTCCAACAGTTAACAGCTTTCTAACCACAGGTAAGACCATGTGCAAAGAAAGTAGATTGAAGCAAAAGTAATTCCTACTTGTTCAGTTCTAAAACTGGGGTTGATAAATAAACCATAGTCATGTGCCACATAACAACGTTTCAGCCAACAGTGAATCACATACATGACAATAGTCCTATCCCATATGATAATGCCATATCTTGCTGTACTTTTTCTGTGTTTGGATATGTTTAGATGCACAAATACTTACCATTGTGTTACAACTGCCTACAGGATTCAGTACGGTGATATGCTGTACATGCTTGTAGCCTAGGAGCACTAGGCTTTATCACATAGCCTAGGCATGTACAGGGAAACACCATCTAGTTTGTGTAAGTACACTCTATGATGTTCATGCAACAACGAAATTGCCTGATGATGCATTTCTCAGAATATATCCCTATTGTTAAGTGACATATGATGGGACTTTCAGGTAACCTGCCCCACGTCGGGTGGCATAAGAGCACTATATGAATTTCCCAGACATCTGCCCTAACTACATAGCAATGCTAGTCCTTTAGCCTGTTGATTAGGATGGGTTCTTCAACATCAGGTACTTATATTAATATTGCAATATTCTCAAGATGCAAACATTTTTGCTAAATGTTACACACGGGAATAAATTAATAGAAACATACAGATGATGTCATGGATCATTACAATCAGTGTAGGTACCATGGGCAGGAAAGCTAACTTTAGCTGAAAGCATCTTAAACTTATTTTTCATGGCCCCTCAAACGGGAGAGATGAGACCAGCCGTAAGGAAGGGTTTAGCCAAATATAGCTCTAGTTTGTCAGAGACCACAAACCCCGCTTCATAACGGAACTAACCTGGCATGCCATTCCCTCCGCAAGTTCTGGCGTGTGGTGAGCGAGGCGAGGATGGCAGTCAAGATTTCATTCCTTTGTTCCACAGGGAGCCCCTCTCTTTTAACTTCACGAAGCACAGCATTTGTCTACAAGAAATGAGCCAAAAAAAAAAAAAAGAGAGAGAGAGAAAGAAAAAGTGAAAAATTAATAATAAAAAAAGCCCATAAGCAAATAAGGACAGTAAATCAATGGCTTTTTTATTACAGTTCCCCTGCTAACAAATCAATACGGTAAATGATGGTCAAAAATGGCCAGCATATATTTTGTATTTAATCAATGTACATGGCACATAAGGTAAACTCTAAAGCTCCATTGCCTTAAGTAACACATCAAGATACTGTGCATTCTTACTCTAATTTTCTCAGCACACCAACAATTTTTTTCCTGCGCATTGCCTACCATGAGCTATTATTAGAAATGATTTCCACGTACACTTCACTGTGAGCTGTTTTGCCTTTTTAAAAAAAGAACAGTCTCCTGACTTCTGCTCTGTTTCCTGCCACCCAGCTGAGGCTTTCTGCACTGCCTCTCTTATTTGAATCATTACTTTCAATTTCTACCCGTGCTGGCAATTTTTTGGGGGGGAGGAGGTGGGGAAGATTTACTCATTTTCCTTGCCTGCTGCAAATCAAGAGCTTACAACGAAAAAAAAAACCAAGAAGTCCAAAAATCAGAAAGAACATTTCTATGAATGAATATCTCAATGAAAATCTTTAGATTTTATAAATGTTGTTTTTAATTTAAAGTTAGTGTAGCTTCTTTGGAGATTTTATAACCAAGGCAATTGCTAAAAGGAATGAAATTGTCACTTTCTGTGTTCTAGTCACTCAATATATTCCTTATTTAACCGGTGCCAATAGATTTGTTTACTTAAAGAGCACACTCATAATATGATTCTCCTGTAACTTGAAATACTACTTCCTTAATCCTCTACAGCATTTTACAGTGCATAGTTAATATCTTCATGACAACCTTGAGAAGAGGTATAGGGAGCATTTGCTGTTTCTGGTGCCTACATCCACCCCCATCCCCCTTTGTCTGACAACAGCATCCAGTTCTCCTCTTGGGGAAGTCTTGTTTTATTGCACGTAGTCTTAGAAGGACTGTCAACCAGTGTCTTGCCTCCCCTATCAAGGATGTGGGCCAGGCCTACTTGATTCTCTTTTCCAAGACTTTAAATTCTTGAGAGGAAAGACAAAGAAAGGGGAAAAATTTGGAGGCAACTTATCAATTTCCTTAGTTCGTACCACCTATGGTCCTCAAAGTATTCCTAGTTTCCTGAACTTTCTGAGCCCAGATCATACTCATTATAGTTTCGGTTATCTAACATCCTTTCAATCAAGTCTCATTTTATTTAAATTCACTAGAAGCTGTCTGTGCTGTTTATCAAAAACCCTAACTGGTACAAACAGACAAGGCAGAAAATAGTATCTCCGCTGTGAAGGAACCAAAATGAGCTGACTGGCACTAGGCAGGGAGAGGACCCTCATCTCTGCCTCCTGGGTCCAGCACTGTACCCACTACGCTAGAAGATACACCCAGTTGGACACTCAATCAGCTTCCTGTGGCAAAATTTTCAGCCCTCCAGCACAGGGAGGAATGCTCAGCTTCTCTAGGGAATCCCAGGCATGAAATCCAGGATCCAGGGGTTGTGAGTTCAAATACTCACCAGGGCCAGGCAAAGAACATGAATGAGTAAAGCAGAGGTTACCCAAAGAGAGCACACGCTCTATCTAAAAGGGCAGCCACCACTCAGTTCCAGCCAACTCTGCCATTCAGAAAAGCTGGCCCAATAGTGCCAGACTCGTGACTTTTCAAAATAAACAAAAAGAAAAATCTGGGTGGTTTTTTTTTGGGGGGGGAGGTCTTTTAAAATGTTAAAACTCCTGATTTTGTAAATGTTGGAAACTCATTTTTAAACTTTTTAAAATATCATGTGGGCCAAACAAGAAACATCAATGGGCTGAACAGAACTCAGGCAGCTGCTAATTTATGACCTCTAATCTAAATGATGTCTAATTTCAGAGAGGTCTGAGCATCAATGGGTATTCTAACAACAGTACTGCTCCTTATCTCTGACACCCTACCTCATGTACTTAAAGTTGGAAGGAACATCAAAAAGTCATGTAGTTTATCACTATGTTTGTGGGTACAAATTATTTTACCAAAATTCAAAAATGCATCAAATAGAAGACAAAGTACATATCTAGAAAGCTCCAAAAATATGATGAAAATAAAATTATTTCCCCCTTTGAATCTATTAAAAGATATGTTTTTAGAAATTCATTTAACTCTTCCTTGCCTTTCATATCATTTAAATTTTATTCAGGGGTCCTTGTTTTCCTTGGACCTTGAACAGCCTTTCTGAGGAGAAGGAAGAAGGATTTAAGAAAGTAAATTTCACAAGGGAAAGGGATGTTGTCTGTTTAGTTCAACACTGTATCCCCATTGCCCACCTAATAATCTGTAATAAACATTTTCCAAATCAGTGAATAAAGAAGGAACTTGGAAAGCATTATAAAAACAAAAAGCGATGGAAGACGTCTTCTTTTAAGAAATTACTATTATATAAACAGTAAACTCATAAAAGAGATTAGCTAAGAAATAGTTATGTGCTTTACCAAGGAGCTCTTCACAAAAAAATTCACTTTAAGGTCTCTTCAAATAATCAGATGTCCTAGTTCAGAGTTTCCCAAACTTTGGTCATTCTAGTACATCCTTATAAATCTTACCATTTTTGTGTATAAGCTACATAATACAACATTTAAAATTTTTCTTTAAATGGATCTATTTTTTAAAATATAATATAAATTTACTTCAAAAGAAAAATGGAAAGATGAGTGGTACTTGTCACAAATGAGAAGTTAATCATAAAAGTAAATACACTGCAAACAAAGCTATTTTTTTATTTCATTCTAGATAGATTTTTTTGCTTGCTGAAGGTTCGAAGTATGCTCCCTCTTTGTAAAAGAAGATATTGACAAGTGCTGGAGAATGCTAAAGGTGCGTTAGATTTCAATGAAAACCTTCTTGACATAATCACACGGATTGAAATGGAGCTGAAGAGGGAATCATTTTGTCAGTGTGGTCCTTACGAGGTGCAAAGTCCCCAAACACCCCATAGCACCACCCTGGGAAATGCTCACGGTCCACATACTACACTGTGAATGCACTGCCCTACTGCAATGGTTTTTAAATACATTGCAGATAAACCTCTTTTCTCCCCAAATGTATTCTTACGTGGGACTCCAATATACACAGTAGATAAAACAGGAGCAGTTCTCTTTGAAGCTGCAATGGAGGACCTAGAAGTCCTCCTTTTACCATGGGATATCTCCTTAAAACTGAATCCAAGAGCATCTAAAGTAGCATTCAAATTTTTAAAAGTTTATACATTGCTGGTAAGAATGCAAAATATTGCCATTCTGATAAACAGTTTGGCAGTTTCTTATAAAGTTAAACATACACTTAGCATATGACCCAACAATCCCATTTCTAGAGATTTGTCTAAAGAAATGAAAACTTATGTTCAAACGAAAACATGTACACAAATATTTATCAGCAGATGTATTCATAATCCCTCCAAAATTGGAAATAATCTAAATGTTCTTTAGAGGGTAAATGGATAAACACTTTTTGGAACATCTACCCAACAGAATACTACTCAACAATATAAAGGGATTAGCAATTGATATATGCAACCACTTTGGATGCATCTCAAAGGCATCATCCCGAGTGAAAGAAGACATTTCTTTGACATTCTGGAACAAGCAACACTACAGGGACAGAGAACATATCAGAAGTTGTTAGAGATTAGGTTGGGGAAGGGGTAGCAAGAGGGAAATTTTGGGGGTGATAGAACCATTCTGGATCCTGATTGTGGTGGTGGTTACATGAATTTATACATATGTTAAAACTCATAAAACTGTATGCCAAAAAATGGTCAAATCTATTGTATGTAAATTTTATAACATTTAATTTAAAAATTTCATTTCCATCACATTTTTAAAACATGAAAGAATGCAGAAAAAAAATTTCTAGTAACCACATCTAATGAATAAGAAGTAAAAATATAGAGAGATACATATGAATGACAAAACAAATTCTGTAACAAAAATATTTTTTTAAATATTAGAAAAGGTAGGGTGGACTGAGCATTCAGTCCCTAAAATCCAGTATTTCATAAAATTTAGAGTGAAAAGAAGTCATTACACAAAAGGAAATTTCACAGTGTCAAAAGAGCATTCTTTTTACAAGGCAATTAACAGTGATATTTTTCTCCTTACAATAATGTCAGCTCCTCAAGGGTTGAGTTTACCCAGTTAATGTTAATAGGTCATTTTTCCATTAGCAGTGACATAGAACTGTCTTCAAACAAGCACCAATTTTTAAAGTCTCCTATTACCAAAAACACATTCTTCCTCCTCTTCCCTGCCCTCTCCTCAAAATACAAGGTTTGAAAACACTTCTCAGGTTTGGGAAACATGCTGTGGAGGCTAAATTTCATTTCAACAGTAATCCTTTTTCAGTAGTAATCTATGGAGATGCTGGCCAGTTCAGAAAGGACTAAGCATATTCTTTAGAGCGCTGGCTGTTCAAATCCCAGCTGTCGCCTCCTAACCATGTGTCCTTTCCATAACTGCAAATGGAGATGGTAACAGAACCTCTCCACGGGTTCTTGTGAGGATTAGTTGCCTGGTACGTATGCTACCATGATGATTATTGTTTCATTCTACCTTCAACTCAGCTAATCTACCTTGTGCTAGGTTGTGCTAGTTTAACAAACAGATTCCTAAAAGTGTTTATTACTTTATTATTATTATTATTATTTTTGAGACAGAGTCTCACTCTGTTGCCCAGGGTAGGGTGCCGTGGCGTCAGCCTAGCTCACAGCAGCCTCAAACTCCTAGGCTCAAGCAATCCTTCTGCCTCAGCCTCCCGAGTAGCTGGGACTCCAGGCATGCGCCACCATGCCCGGCTAATTTATTTTTCTATACATTTTTAGCTGTTCAATTAATTTCTTTCTATTTTTAGTAGAGATGGGGTCTTGCTCTTGCTCATGCTGGTTTCGAACTCCAGACCTTTA